GTCAAGACGTTGGGCAAACAGAAACTTGGTACCGATGTACTCATTGAGAGAAGTGGGCACATAGTCAGTGCACGGATGCTGACTAACCTACAAATTTTGTTTGTGATTTTTGCGTTTAGGAGCAGAATACTTGATAATGAATTTTGTGTTCTTTTTTTAGTTTACTTTCATTTCCCCAAAAAATCAGTTTTTGTTTCTGCATAATATTTAAACAGAAATTAAAGTGTCCGAAGGGTAATCATTACGGGAATTCTATAGAAATCAGAGGAAATCTTGAGCGGTCTTACGGGTAATCAGAGGAAATCAGGGGAACTCTTGGTCAATCTTATGGGTAATCAGCAAAAATCAGAGGAATTCAGGGGAAATCATGGGAAATCGTCCATGATTTCCCCTAAAACTGCAATCTGGTGTACAAAAACTGACATGCGGTCTACTCTTCGGATCCTAGCGATCATAAATTAAGGTAAATTCTAATGAAAAAAAAAAACTCTAAACCTTGCGGTTTTCGAGGTACAGCCGCTTCGTACCCTTATCCTGACATCCTACAGCTCGAATTAATTTTGTCAAATTTATAGATAAACTCCTATTCTCGATTAAAAACATTTCTACACTATATGTAGGCCATAATGGGTCTAAAAAATACCACACATATCCCTTTGATTAGCTCAAACAGATTTCTTTAAACTTTCCCCGAATTTACCAAACGGCACTTAATTTGCATCAAATTTTCACCCTATATTCATTACTTTAAACCTATGTACCATAAATGCGTTTTTGTTTGAGATAAAATTAGGTTACGAAGTTCATGAGTTGGTTGTACCTAAATCTTTTTAGCCATTGCTAAAACTTTGTCTATAAGAGCTCTAAAAATGAAACACTTCCGCATGCCTCTGTAATCTTGATAATTTTTTTTGCTCTAGAACCGTGTCTTACGCGCATTTTTAGTTTGAGTTGCCGCTTAAATTATAGTTTTTTTGCATAAAAAGTTGCAAACATTCACCTTTCCACCTTTCCATTGAATCTTTCATATCGCACGATTCATAAATTCGTCACAACAAAAAAAAAACGCTCTATGGCAAATTAATTATACGAAAAGATATACGAGCTTAATCGTTTTAGCTAACGCGAATACTGGAGCGTAACAAAAGTCTTAACCTCTTTGAGACGGCCGAATGTGAAAAACGCGTTACAATTAATTAATATCGAACAATTTTTATTCAGAGTTGGCACAGTATTTAGGCTATAGAAAGATGTTGATTGCGTTGATAGCGGGGCTCTTCGTAAAACAAGTCGTTTTCCACTTGGCCGGTAATAAATTTGACGCACGCGTGCCCCTTATAATTTCGTGCATATCATTAAAAGTCACTCGGATTAAAGACTAGGTACTCCACGCATGGTGGTTTTTTATGTGCACAACAAACGACGCGGATAATAGTAATTCGATTAAGGTGATTTCACCGCACAGATACTATTTAAAATATAGTTTCTTGAATGTAAACATGTATGGGTATCGACAGTTATAAATTAAATTAGAATTAAACTCCACAGCTCTGCTCTGTTCCTAAAGATTTTTTCCGGAAAGTGCATCTCCAACGCTTTAGAATTTTCGGTAGCGGATGTACCCATAGAACTCATATAACCTATCCCAATTAGTCGGGTCATAACAGAAACTTTATGATGTGAATAGGTTCAAAAACAAACATCATCAACTTTTATGGACTACTAATGACCCGCGCTGCGTTGAAAGCGTGAAAATAAATTTTGAAATAATACACTTTTTTTCAAATTTTTTTGTTGATTTTCTAAAAGTTTTTTTTTATCCGATACCAGAGTCGCTTGCCAGTGAGCTCAGTGACGCATTTTAAGCACTCCAGAGCTGCTCTAGAGCGACCCGGGCTGTTTATAGGCGTTCCAGTGTATCAGAGTTTCGCGCAACAGCTGAACCTTTTTTTTCGGGATAAAAAATAGCCTATATCACTCCCCTCTATAGCCGAATTCGATTGACCGGATTAGATCGATCTGGTTCAATTTAAGTGAACCACACTGTGTTCGATTGAGGTTGGATCAGTGCACCCTCATCAAAAAAAAATATCTAGATCAGAAGAAGTTCCCTTAAATTGAACCCAAATCGATCTAATCTAGGTCAATCGAATCCGGCTTACATAGAGATACGTGGTATTAAATTCAAGATCGGTCCAGCCGTTCTCGAATTCAAAAAAGAATAAAGTTACGTCGGTTGAATGCGCAAGCCTTAATAAATGAAATGTGGCAACGTTGTTTTATATTGTCAAAAAAAAGTTGGGTCATGCTGCTATGTAATGTGAATGAGTTTGTTTATAATTGAATTATAAATTAATTTAAAATTAATTTCTTTTTCCGAGATGTGTAACCTATCCACAAAGCTTCCTTGGGATGGCCATAACAACCTACCAAAGTTTCATCGTAATCGGATAAGTGGTGTAGGAGCGCATAAGGCACAAACAAGCAAATATTGATTTTTATATACATAGATTTATTTCGTTACCTTTATTCGCGTTGGAACACACTGCTTCTTGCATTCCCATGGTAGCTTTGATACGCATTTTCAGGCCTTTAAAAGCTTTAAGGGCCGCTTCGTATGAAGATGTTTGGCTTTTGAGGCTTTGGTTTAGACGTCTGTTGATTGCAAGCAGTTCAGCTTGGATATGGTTGGATATTTGCCCATGAGTTTGGACCTGAAATGCCCAATCTAGCTCCGTTTACTAGTTACTCACCTAGACAGAAAACCCTTTCTATATACAGGATGAAAATTTGAAAAGTAGCAATCAGCAATAATCTTGGACAAAAAATACTATCAGGATGATCTCAAATAGGTATCGGGGGACTGGAAGGTGAAACAAAATGAGGCACTTTTTGATTCACTCCGCCTTACCCCTTAGGGGGTAGCACCCGTTACTTTTTTTTTACGAACCTACCTGGTGTTGCACATCATTGGATATAGCTCTTTGCTTTCCCTTTACAATCTTATAGCAAAATCTTACATCTTACGATTAGTTTTTGAGATATCGGTATTCAAAAGTGAGCAACATTTTTGAAAACTAGTAATTTTGATTATCTCTAAACAAAAGAGTTTTATCATAAAAGTTTCAGATACGCATCGGAGAAACCAGATAATGTGTTTTTTGCCTTATCCCCACCCCTCTTGTCTGAGGGGCTAGCTGCCCCCAATAATTTAGCTACCCCCTAAGGGCTGAGGTGACTCAAAAAGTGCCTAATTTTGGTTCCCCCTCCATTTCCCCGATAAGTATTTGATAGTATTTTTTTTCTAAGAGATATTCCCGATTGCTACTTTTCAAATTGTACAAAAATGTATACCTAGGTATACGAAATCAATCCGACCAACTAAATGGAAGAGTCACCTACCAGGTTTCTTCAATTTACCAATATATCCCACTAAAAATAACCCCCAATTTCATGATTAGACCTCGTAGACCGCTTCCAGTCGGTCAAATAATATTTGGCGAACACACAAATAAAATAATATCCAAAAAGGTGTGGTGCACTGTAGACAATTGCGTTTGCATTGTCTGACAAAATATCAGTGCGGTGGCTTGCTTATTGAAATAGAAGCAATTAGAATTAGTTTATTCTTCGTTGATATTTGACCGATTTCCGGAAAAATATTGGTTCATTCCTATAGGTATTGCATGCCTATGCTCAATAGTCAATTTCAAGTCAGTTTTCATGCTATTCCGATTGACTTTGTATATACCTTTCTTTAATTTGATCTGAGCGGTGACCTACTCAGTTTTTGAAGTAGGTATAGATCCAGTACAACATTCTAGGTTTGAGCTGCCATGTCTTGCCAACAAGTTGGCGGTATCTCCAGATAGTTGTATCCAGAGGCTGTTTCAGGTGAATTTGACCAATTTGACCAATGTGATCAACGCTATGTTCCGTTAAGAAGGGTTGCACGCAGTTTCAGCATTTTCCTTCTCGTTAACGGAACTTAAATGGCTGCTAGGACTAGGGATATTTCCCCCTTGGGAATACCCTTTGACTGTGGATGTCGCCCCGTTTATACCTGCTGTTACGGTGCGATTTTGCAGCATTGATTTTGTCCATCTAAAAATATCTACGATCCATTCGTTGTGATGAACTTACTGATGTAAGGTGTTGTCAATTGTTAGGGGCTCACTCTATGTCAGTTAGACCGATTTTCTTGCGTTCAATTTTATTTTCTATGAATTTCAGTGCAGTGCATTTATTGTATATTTGCGTGATTGGTAGACGAATTGCCTAGGATGAAGCGGTCTTTTCGACAGGATATTCCTTCTAATGTATCGATCTATTGCTTTTTTCATAGTCTTTAGGGAAAAGGAATTCAGCCTAATGGGACGGTATGATTTAGGTTACTTTTGATAAGAAACTTCTTATAGTTTTCATCAAAATTATATATTTTATTCTCTAATAATTGATTATCGTAATGGTTCTGAAATATTTCTAGAATCCATGGGTTTCTTCATTAGCCGTTATAAATAACGTTTTGCATTTCGCAATTTTCTACTGGAATTATTATAAATTGATGAAAATTTAATGAGTTGAATACTATGAATTCAGTTAGCTTTAAGCAAAATAACCAAAAAAAAAAAAATAAAAATCATAACTAATTTTTCAATCGGATCTAAGCTAGTATAAAAGTTGTTCTACTTTGAGTTAGTGGCTTACTAACCTATCTTACCTTCCTTTTTGTTAGGTTCATCGCTTTTAAGGTAGGATCTACCTTCATATTTTGTATTATTTTAATTAAGGAAATGTTCGACTTATTACGTTAAAATGTAAACCAAATACCGCTCGAAGCTCTCGACACGCCTAATTAATTAGGCATTATTTGTATTACGCCAAGGTAAATTTACTACAAAGCTGAATACTTATAAATAGTTGAATCAAAGATTGATAAAATCGTAAACTCAAGATTTTTGCAGACTATCCCAATTGGTATTTGTATTATTTTGTTGCAGCATTCAAATGCCATGATGTTGGATTGCATCAGACGCCAACGCCCAATATAGGATTCTCTAAGGTGAGTTTCCCACCGATTACTTTTATTATTAATTATATTTTATATTACCACCAAATGAAAGCAAACAAAAATAGATTTATTATTACTAAATAGATATAAGTCGACTATCGTGAGGTACTTCAGATACATAAATTACCTTTGACTTAAATTAACAATAAATTTCAAGAAAGCAAGCGCCTGGAACTCTACCTTTGTTTAATTCACAACCATATACCACACTGGACGTTGTTTAGGCTAAGCTTTAGAAAGGCAAAGTGGTTACGTTGCATTGTATAGTACCGTTTTTATATTATTGCTAAAAAAATACCAAATGCATCGATGGACCCCCCCGTTTGCAAACAACCATTACATGGGTTCACGGGTACTGAAATAAGAACAAACATAGTCAGAGGTCAAAAGAATTGGCTTTGGTCATTTTTATTGGTACTTTAATATTCGACGGAGTTGCCAGATTTTATTTATTGTATTGTTGATTATTCATTTTTCAATATTGCATTTTTATTATAATTACTTAATTTTGAATTCATTATGAAGATTTGGTGTTGCATGAACAGTCAGAAACTATTTTTTATATCGCCAATAGACGATAGTTGAAGGTTTGTACTGAAATAATAACACCTCTAGCTTTTCAGAATCAAAGAATAAATTGAATAATGGTGTATCAGATATTATTCATTCAATCGTATATATTAAATCCCGGGAACCGAATTATCTTAACTTTAAAACTCATTATTCTCTCAAAAACTATAGTTTTTTTCGCAAATCCTAAATGTCACATTTTTCTCATAGTTTTGACCACAATTCGTGATAATCGCCCAAAGGAAAATACACTTTTGTTCACTGGCACCATACATGCAATCTAAAAGTATTTGAATAAATAAATAAATAAATAAATTTGGAGATGTAGATTATTACGGCAACATTGCTTAGGCGGCCACGGCTGTACCAGCAGTTCTTTCGATCTCGTACTAGTTCAGGGCGCTCCGTGGATCTATATTGGCGGCCAAGGGGGCCGAGGGAACCGGGCGGGCCGGGTCAACGTGTGACCTCAAGCCCTGAGGTACGCCGGCTACTTTCCCACGAAGAGACGCCCGCAATATCTACCGCTCTTCATCAGGAACACAGCCTGTCATTAAATATGGCAATATGTGTATGCTGGCCCAGATCGTTTACAGATTAGGAAACCCTAAATCACTGTCACGCTGCTGTCAAAAAACAAGCTACCCCTCCCGCCCCCTTTAGTAGTCTACTAACCTATTTTTTGACATTTTACTTACCTAGGTATGCGTTATGAAAACCATTGCAAATAAAGTTCTTCCAGATTACGAGTCACATTCGATTTTTCGATCTTAAAAGCTTTCTATTTCTACAATTTTATATAAAAACTGTACACCCAACAAAAAAAAAAAAAAAAAATCGTTAGGTAGGTACATAGAGGAACAAAAATGAAGCAAATAATAACAATTTATTGGAAAACAATACTGTTGAGCTTCAACTTATTCAATCTGTCTGTGCTGCGGTCAATAATGTTTCAACTTCGTTAGTATTTCTAATACCGTTTTCGCTAGTTTTTGTTTTTAAAATTATCAAGTGATGTAAGATCGCGACAAACATTCTGGCAGTAATTGGTATTTAAATAAGCAACCATCTCAACTGATTTAATACGTGCATCTTGTTGTTGCCAAATTATATTATATCACTAGCCAGATTACAACTAACTTATCTATATAATGAGATCTACATGCTCCAGAAGATGCATGTAGGTAGCAGCTCTGGTGAGACTCTCTACAAAAAAAATTTGGACTGATGTTTTCAATTCATTGGAATGTTGAAACCTACTGAATCTTTTAAATTTTGGGATATTTTTTTTTAACTCACATCTGCCCAAAAGCGAAAGCGCAAGCTTTTTCTACTGAGTAACCTCGAAGGACAAAAAGAAGCTATACATGATATTTCCAAAATATTTATGCAGAAATTAGTTCTCTTTTTGCCAGTTTTATTCTGTAATGTGGAACTTGAAAAACATTTCAAATTATACAAAGTATTTACAGGTTATTTGACTATATTTAAGCCCATACCGGCAGCCTTTACTATTTAAGATAGAAAAAGATTTTAAATACAAACTTTTTTTTTTAATTTTCTTTTAATGTTATCAGAAGAAACAAAATCGTATCGGAAAATGCAAAAAGGTAGACAACTTCAACTTTTTTTAATGGGACACCCTGTATACTATGTGATAAAATGAAGTATCTTTTTTTCCTAATGCCAAATATATACATAGGTATTGATTACATTTTCGTGGGACATTTTTGAGATATTTTAGCTTAAATTGTAAATAATTTGAAAATAATTTACATAAGCTTGTCAAGAGATTTAAATCTTTATAAAATTTCTTTGCATTTGTATTGCAGCTCTCATCCACTTCGTATAAAAATCTGTAAACTTTGTTATTCTTAGAATTTCTTCGTTTCTCACTCTATCTCTCAGAGAGATTCCCGACATCTCTCGCTCCATCAATTTTTGTGTCGTTTTTAATTTATAAGCATTTGCCTTTGTTATTGAAATGGTTTCCATTCCCCAGGTATTGACTTGCAGTTTCTAATTTGACATGTGAAAATTACACTAGGTATATACTTACCTATCCACTTCAAATTTCCTGAACCTGTTACGAGAGTCGGATTCTTCTGGTAAATTCTGCACTCTGGTTTTCTTTTTCCAGTTAATCTTCGACGTTTTCTATGGCACTGTAGTCGATTGTTATGTAATTGTGTTCAGAACTCTATCTTAGTTTATTTTTAGGCCTCTTTTGATGATGATCTATTTAGTTGTTGTAGCATTTTGTTCTAGTCGTTTGTGATGTCTGCACTTGAATCGGTATCGGAATTTCATGTCGGTAATATATACGTCTCATTCTAATTTCTTGAAAACCTCTTCAAAATCTAGAGTGAAGAGCTTTGGTGTGGCCCTTGCTTCACTCCACGTTGAAGTCGGATTGTCGTTGTGGTTGATTGTTGCATCCTTATATAAAATGATGCACTTTTATATGCCCGCTATGATCTGTAGATATTTGGAGTCAATTCTGTGACTTTCAACATGTCTAGCATCTCTACAGAGATGTATCGGAACGATGTATTCTGTGCATCCTGCTGATAGAAATCTTAAAGTCTATTTTTTTAATTTAATTTAAACACAAAAGTCAAAATGACATTATGTTGGCAATAGAATGCAAAATTGTCAATGCTTCCAATTTTTTCACGTAAGAAAGGCTTGTGTTGCCAACATAGTTACTAAATTTTTGACTTGGGGTTTTGTCTTTAATAAAAAAACAGACTTTATTCCCAGCTTCATACTGTCATCGTTCTTCGAGAGGAGAATGACTTCAGTGTTGTACCATTTCTTGGGTATTAGTATCATAATAAAATATCCATTAAAGCTTCTATTGCTTTTTCTGGGGATTTCCGTGTTTTAACTTCTCCCTTATGTTTTAATTGTTTCCAGAGCATCCAGTTTTCATTTGTCTCAATGCTTTTCTGATTTAGTCCCTACCGAGTTATTTCTGGCATTTGTTCTGATCCTACATTCCGGATGCTCCTCCCTATATAAGTTTTTTGGGCTTCAGTAGAGTATCAGGCTTGTATAAAAGGCTTTGAGGGCCTGGCCTATGTCTTTTTTTTGGTTTGTACTATGTATTTCGTTTTCCTCGTTTCGTTTCTTTATTATTTAGGTTCTTCCCGCTGGCAGTTTTGAACGCAATAATACATACCCTAATTTTGCAGTTCCTGCTGATGATTACTTCTATGACTGGACAATTCTTGAAGGTTTTCTGATAATTTTTCTATTCTTGTTCTTCTTTCAATAATTAGTCTAATGATGTTGGCTGTGAATTTTGGTTTTCTATACGTGAACATGCTTTGTTGACTGATATTTCTACGTATTTTATCATTTTCTCAGCAATTTCATCTGTATACGTGTATTGTAGTGTTTCGTGGTATTCGTCCTGTCTTGCCGTACCTCCCGTTCGGTAGCAGTATAGTTTCAGAAGTTTTTCTCTTTCCTTCTGGGTTTTGATTTTAATAGTTGCCCTTACTAGTATATAATCACTTCCGATACAGAAATTGATCAGATCTGTATAGAGTTCTTCTAGGCTGAGGAGCACTCAGGAATGCTCCTAATTCTAACATTGTATCTATGTAGCATAGTGGCTATGTTTTGTAGATGGTTTGATGGTTTGCATGACTTGTCAGGTTTTTGCCTTCCCCATGATCTTTCAGGCAGGCTGGGTATCCAGTATGAAGTTCTGAATCTGATGAGATCATAGTCAGCTACGGTACATTACATTTTTTATTCGACATTTCATGTATTGTTTAGAAGTTTTTGGCGTAAATCCAAATCTATTCTACGTGACACCTCATTGGAGATAATTAAACTCCCTTTTTCCTGGCGGATACGTTTATCTAGAGTCGCATAGCTAGGTTTCGAGTATTTTAGGACTTCAAATCTATTCCAAATTGAGATGACAAACTTTTGGGATTAATATTATCGAAAACGAAGAGATTTTATCCATTCGAAAGCTATTGACTCAATCTACGTAAGTATTAATCTGCCGAAATTTCAAGTAAAGCCAAGATTAACATGCACAGTTGACTTATTCATAGTTCACTACAACAATATGCAGATGACTCACAAGTTTTTATACCAATTACCCATAGAGATGAAGATCTGGTGGATTGTAACTCCAAAATAAATTTGGATTTGAACAGAATATTTACCTATGAAGATAAGTAACCACAACCTTAAAATAAATGCAACAAAATCTCAGTCAATTTTATTAGACCAGAATAGACAAGTAAGAGAGCGCTTGCAGAAAAATATGTCAGTTACATTAAATAAAGAAACTAACCCCTTTAAGTCTGCAGCAAGAAATCTGGGCCTAATTATCGACGGAGCAACAAGTCCTGTTTTCGATTCGCTTTGGTCTACCTGCAAGGCTAACCAAATTA